GTCTGGTTGGTGCCGGCAGCCTCCAGGGTCAGAGAGAAATGCTCCTTCTTCCCTCAGGAGACCCTGTACCCCTTCTGTGACACCCCCTTCGACAGAGCTGCCCGTACCACTTGAATAATGGATCAGCTTCAGCCCCTGTCCTGGGTCTTGTCGATACCAGTGCATTTCAAAATGGTTCTCATCCTGAGTACATTCCAGGATCATCCTGGTTCCTGTTTGTATAATATGGTATCTTGGCGTCTGGGTGATTGCAGCATCCACGGGGCCTGCGGGAGAGGGAGACAGAGGGTCGAGGCAAGGCTGAAGGCGTGACCTGAATCTGCAAAGCAAAGGGAAAGGCTTGGAGCTGGGACTTGGCAAAATCATGGCTCGGGGTTCCAGCTGAGTCCAGAACCCACCTGCTCCCAGGAGACCAAGAGTCACACAAAAGAGGTTGAGGCTCATGGAAGGGGCAGGGTGAGAAGGGTGCTATCCCAACTAAATGCTGTCATCCACAGGACTGGGAGAGCGAGCTTGGAAGCTCTTCAGTGGACAAACGGGTCTGCCTGGGATGTCATCGCCTCCCACCTCTCCAACTCTGCCTGGCCCAGGGTCCCTTCTGACTTGGCTCAGGAGGGGTCAGCTACTCCTCACGTAGACGATGCTTAGCAAGGCCTGCAGGGGCAACGGGGTGTGGCTGCGGTGCACTGAGTTTAGGGTGCACCCACCCCCTTGGTTTCCCATACTCCTCTGAGACAGTTGCTCCTCTGTCTGCACCTGCCCCTGACATCAAGCCTGCCTCATCCAAATCCTTCAACTGTGGAGCTCATTAAAGTTTAGAGGGACCTCCCACCTCTTCCATAGCTGTAGGTAGCCTAGCAATAACGGAAAACTTCAACATCTGCCTGGTATTGGATCCACGCCTGTTTTTCTTAACCCTCTCCCTCCCCAGGCTGCTCTCCCAGACTTTTCCGAACCCCTCAGATCTCAGTGGCATCACAGTGCCATCTTGTGGCCAGTAACTGAAGTTGCATCATTGTTTCTTCTGCAATGGCCCAAGGGATGCTGGGAAGTGTCTGCATAGTCAACAGGGAGAATATTCCAGAAGTAGCGTCTTGCAAACTTTTTAAATAAAAACATTTTTTAATGTTTATTTATTCCTGAGAGAGAGAGAGGGAGAGACAGAGCACGAGCGAGGGAGGGGCGGAGAGAGGGAGACACGAATGTGAAGCAGGCTCCAGGCTCCAAGCTGTCAGCACAGAGCCCAACATGGGCTTGAACCCATGAACTGTGAGATCATGACCTGAGCTGAAGTTGGACCCTCAACTGACTGAGCCAGCCAGGAACCCCAGCATCCTGCAAATTTTATGCTCAACTTCTTTAAACCCTAATCCCAACACCAATCCGAACCTTGACTCTACTCCTTTGAGATGCCATGCTTAATCTCCCGCCCTCATTCTACTTAACTGCTGTCACACATCTGGCAGTGAGAGTCCAACCAAAATCTTCTCCCTTAAAACTATCTCCTGAGACGGAGAGGGACAAAATGGGAGGAATGGAAGAAAATAGTATTTAGTCTAAAATAGGAAGAAAAGTACGGGAGATGAAATATAAGAAGGCTCATTTATCTCTGTTACTAAAAGTAAACAAAAACGCCCCTCTTCCACCACCAAGGGGGCAATCAACCAACCGTACCTCCAAAATACAGATCAGCTGAGGACTAGGAATATAACGAGACTACCTTCACAATGGGGTCCCGTGTGTGCAAATAAAAAGTAAAATTGAAATATAAGAAAAATATGGAACATCTTACAAGACGATAGGCAGTCATGGAGGATACAGCGTCTAGTGGGAAAATAAGGATGGGAGGAATCAAGGTGAGCCAGGGACAGGCGACACTCAATGGCGAGCTCGTACAACGTGCGTGTCCTGATTTAGGCAGCAAGGAGGGAAGATGGGACTGCCAGGGTCATGTGGAGAATGGTGGCACAGTTGGAAACAGGGCCTGGGAAGGAAGTCTCTGGCATGGCCTTCCAAGGATAAGGGATTCCCGGCTGGGCCCTAGCCTGGCTCACTTCCGGAGACACAGGGAAGCAGACTGAGCAGTGCTTTGCTGATGCCACATTAAAATACGACCAGGATTGAGGTGCCTGGGTGGCTCAGATGGTTGAGCATTGGACTCTTCATTTCAGCTCAGGTCATGATCTCACGTTTTTGTGAGATCGAGCCCCGCGTCGGGATCTGCTCTGACGGTGTGGAGCCTGCTTGGGATTCTCTCTCCCTCTCTCTCTGCCCCTCCCCATTTGTATGCCCTCTCTCCCTCTCTCTCCCTTTCTCCCTCTTTCAAAATAAATAAATAAAAATGAAAAAAAAAATAAGACCAGGAAAACTCTCTTCCAAGAACACCCATTCTCTGGGGAAACAAATCTGGTGTCCTGAGACACCACAGTTTCTGATAAGTGGATTTGGGATGATTGTAACCCCCTTACCAGCTGTGAAAGGCTCAGGGCACCTCCATCATTGCTGAGTCTGTGACAGTCTATCCCAGACTCAGGGTCCTGGACTATCTCTTAGGACACCCAGAAACTCATGATCCATGAGTCTATGAGCTCTGACCATGGCTTTTGACTTCATAGATACAAACCACAGCTTCACCGGCGGTTGAGTGGAAGATGTTATAACTGCATAATTATTTATATTTATAACAAGTAACATATCATGATATATAATGCAGCAAATAAAATAAGTAAAAAGGAAATAGGGGCATTATTATCAAGAAAATATCCTGTCTTCTTGAATCAAAGAATTCAAGGGAATTTTTTCAAATAAAAAGGCCAGTGCATCAAAGAAAACACTGCGTCTCTAAAAATTGGATTCACTCAGGGCGTCGAGGCGAGCCTGGGGAAGCAGTTCAAATGTGCTGCACTCTCACTACTAGGACCGCACACGTGGGAAAATGACGACAGAGAGAGAAAATGGCGTGTCCAAACCGGGCAGAGGATGGGACATCTTATCGTTATGATCCTTGTTGTCCCGTCACCACCACGAAAGCAGTAAAGACCTGGCTTCATACAGGAAGACAGACTTGCTCCTGTGTTGCTCAAGCTTCCAAAGTTTCAGGGACAGAGAGGCTTTAGAAGTAAGAATATGGGGGTGCCTGGGTGGCTCAGTCAGTTGGGCGTCTGACTGTTGATTTCGGCTCGGATCGTGATCTCACAGCTTGTGGGTTCGAGCCCCACATTGGACCCTGTGCTGGCAGCCTGGGGCTTGCTTTGCATTCTGTCTCTCCCTCGTTCTCTGCCCCTCCATGGTCTCTCTCTCTCTTTCTCTCAAAATAAATAATTAATAATGAAAAAAAAAAGAAGTAAGAATATGTCAAGAATGACACAAACTTCCCAGATGGGACCACAAATGCAGAGAAGGAGGCACCGCCCACTACACGGAAAGCCTCGGGTCTTGCAGAAGGACTACTGTGTCCCTGTTGTTCAGTCCTGGCCTTGGAGCCCGGAGCCAGCCCTGGGAGTCTTCCAACCCTATGGGCCATAATTATTTGATCCACCCTCATTTACATTCCCTTCAGGAGTTTAGTGTCTTTTTCTACCCAAGGACAGCTGAGAGCTGATATCCAAATCTACATCTTGTGACTGGGGAACGATGAGTAGGGACAGTCTGTTTACGGTCTTCAGGTGCAGGGAGAGAGAAGTCTGAGGTTGGTGAAGAGGAAGGAGGTGGCTGTGCCCCACTGTGGTAGGGCTGCTGGCACAGAGGTACACAGCTGAGTCCCCCGGCTCCGCACGCTGGATCTGCAGAATGGAGTAGGATGACCTGTTCTTCACTGAACTGACTGCTGTTGGGCATCCCTGAGGAGTCTACTTTGTCCTTGTTTTGGAAGGAAACGAGAAACTCGGCCTGCCCCACCGGGCCAACGGTAACAGTAGAGCCAGCATGACCAGAAATTGGGTCACACCTGAGGTCCACGTCCCGGCCCCTCTTTGTGACCTTGTGCCGGGGGGACTGGAGGACACCAGCTCCTGTGTGACCTGTGGAGACAAAAGTTAGATCAGCTTTGTGAGGAAATCGACTGCAATCATTGCATGTATTTATCCCTCCCGCTCACACACATGCGCTCACTCGGTGTTCTGAGGACTCACCTGCCCCCAGGAGACAGAGGGTCACGCAGCAGAGGAGTCTGGTGCCCATGGCAGGGTCAGGACAGGGCTAGATGTCAGCCTACATCAGGTTCTCCTTGAGCACGAGCAGAGGAGGAGGGAGGCCCTCTGATCCACTCAGAAGGGAGTTCACCAGTGACATCACCCCTCTCTGTCCACCCTCAACCTCAGGGAGCAGGATTTATGCTTAAACATACTTGATGACAAATAAGTGTTTGTAACCTCCTTTCTGCTTTTTGGAAATTTGTTTATTTTAATTATTTTTTAATTTTTTTTTCAACGCTTATTTATTTTGGGACAGAGAAAGACAGAGCATGAATGTGGGCTAGGGGCAGGAGAGAGAGGGAGTCATTGCGAATCGAACAGGCTCCAGGCTCTGAGCCATCAGCCTAGAGTCTCGACAAGGCTCAAACTCACGGGATCAGCGAGATCGCGACTCCGGCTGAAGTCAGATCGCCAATCGACCAGCACCCAGCTCTTTTATCTTTTTTTTTAATATTTATTTTTTGAGGAGAGAGAGAGAGACAGAGTGGGCAGGGGAGGGGCAGAGAGAGAGGAGACACAGAGTCTGAAGCAGCTCAGCCTTCATGTAATGGGTTGTCAGAGAAGTCTTTATGATACCAAGTACTTTAAACCGATTGAGAGAAAATGGAAAATCTAGGAACAGAGATACACCAGGCTGTGCTGTCCTTATTCCTGAAACAGGTGGGGTGAGAAGCAGGCCACCCAGGTGACCTTGAACAGGAGCATGAGTGGGCTACAGCCATTGCAAGAAGGGAAGGACTCATGCCCAGCAGAGGAAACAGGCCCTGGATGTCCCTGGATGGGAAAGGGGACATGGTAACTGAGGGCCTAGCAGTGTGTGGGGTTAGAGCTGAGGCACATGAAGCCAGCGAAGCCAGTCTCGAGGCAGCTAGAGGACAGACCCAGCAGGGCCTTGTTGGGGCTGCCCCTATGGAAAGGCTGGGGGAGAGGCCATACGGCATCAGAGAGCAAATGCACTTGAGTGCGCCAGGGGGAGACAAGGAGGGGGGCATCTAGATAGATCTGATTTCATAACACATTGTTAATAACACATTGTGTTGTTTACCCAGTGCAAACAATTTCCATCCCGGAAGCATCAGACTTAGGCAGGGGGTAGAACAGTCAGAGCTGGGAAGCACTCTTTCAAGAGCCATTGCATGAGCAGACCAGAGGTGGAGACACGGCCGCCTGAGGTCTGGTCGGGTCCAGGCCAGGCTGTCAGTGCCTTGCAGACGGACCTCAGCCCACACCGAGGTTCACTCTCATGCCTGGGGCCCCTGGGGCCTGGGGCTCGGGGTCGGGGCTGGGAGTGTGCCGAGGGCTCTGCTGAGTCCCGGGGCGCAGGCCCTCCCCCTGCCTTTTTTTTGTGCAGAGAGGAGACAGCTGTGCAGCGCTGTGTAGTCACTGCTGGCACAGAAGTACACAGATGTCTGGGAGGGAGTTGCGGACGCCAGCGTGAGAGGGAAGTTCTTTGTATTTGACCTAGAGACGTTGTATCCATTGGAGATTTCTCCTCTCTCGGTGGTACCAGCACTGATGGAGTAATGGATCAGCCGCAGCCCATGTCCAGGGTCTTGTCGATACCAGGACATGTAGTCGTGGTCCTTGTCCTGTTCACATCTCAGCGTCATGCTCTGTCCTGTCCCCAGGATCTGGAATCTGGGGGTCTGAGTGATGCCAGCATTCACGGGCCCTGTGGAGAAGGAGACAAAGCTGATGCCACAGACACCACAGAGAGGCCTAGAGCGGGGACCTTGAGGTTTGCACTCAGGAAAGGGACGCTGCTCAGGACTCGCCTGCCTGCAGGAGACCCAGGGCCACACAGCACAGGAGGCCGAGGCTCATGGCAGGGGCAGGGCGGACGGAGGGCTCTTCTGGGAATGTGTGCTGAGGGACGGGGAAGGAGGCTCTCGGGGGAGTCGTTCTGAGACGTCACTCTTCCTGCCTGGGCGGAGCCAACCCTCCAGGGGGCCGCAGCCCTTCCCCAGAGGGTCCGATAAAAAGCTCCACGTACACGTGAACAGCTTAGGATGGGGAGAAAGGACTTGTCTGAACTGACACAAGCCTTCACTTTTTTGCGAAACAGTTTGTAACCTTATGTAATGTTTTCCTCCTGTGATAGAATTCTTCATTGATGCACTGGTTCTGTGTGTCTGCGTGTTTCTGTAGTGCTGAATTGGGGAAAAATCATTAAGGGCTTCCCGATGCCTTTTATGACTTGTGAGTCCCAACTCCTCCTCCAAGTATCCGTTTTCGCTTTGCTTAATTGACCAGCGTCCTGTTAACGTCCTTCCAGCGACGGTTCTCCTGATACTGGGTTTCCAAACCTCAAGGGGCCGGCTCATCAACTCTTGGGGAACCGTTTTGCTCTGTTTCTTACCGAGTCAGGACACCTGCCAAAGGTAGCAGAGCACCCGCCTCCCTGGTTTGGGCTGAGACAGCGGCAAGCAGAAACACGTCGCACCTGTGAGTGACCTTCCCTCGTGGCAGGACGATGGCTACTCAGTGGTGCCGATGATGTGTTAGCACAGAGGTATTCACGTGTGTGAGGGACTGTGGGGAAGTGGCCGCCTCCAGGGTAAGTGAAAAATGGTCTGTTAGTTTCATCTGAGACATGCATTCCACGGGGAATAGCTTCTTGTGGAGAACGGCTGGCATTAATTAAGTAATAAGGACAGCGGAGCTCAGAAACGATCGTGTTGCCCACAGTCCCCCACTTAGAAAGACCCCACACCCTGGCTTCAGTGCTCTGCTGTTGTGATCTTCAAATTCTTAATAATATCTGAACCATGAGCTCTGCAAATTATGTAGCTGGTCCTGGGTATATAATTTTGTGTTTCCTGTCTGTGGTCACCTTCCTGTCTGCTGGTTTCCCTTTAGCATGACCACATGTCTGGAGGCTCAGTGAATCAGCATCTCTGGGGCCTTGAGAAGGACACAGGCACTAAAGCTGGAACCCAAGGGGAGCCTGATGTTATAACCACAATGTCGAGCTTTGAATTGGGGCCATGCAAACCCGTGAGTGGGTTTCGCGTCTGTGCCTGGGACGTCGCTGGTCCAGGAGACAGAAGAACACACAGTGCAGAATGGTGGCAGGCCAGAATGCAAAGGGGGATCTTCCAGTTCAACGCTTGTGTTTTGAGGGTTCGGCACTGGGTCCAGACAAAGGGGACCCTTCTTCCAACATGGAATGACCGCTCAACAAAGCCACAGTTGCCCGTGGTCTGCTCAGCCCCAGCACACAGTGTGTGAACATGAAACCCAGCTATGTATGCATCTGATAGGAACTCAAAATAATGTCCTTGGAGATGATGAATTTGTGTCAACACTCTATTATAAAATAATTTGAATGAAGGGACACATGAAAAAAAGAAATGAATTCAAATGAGTAAGTACATTTTATAGAAACAGCTGCAAACAGCTAGAAAGAGCTTTCGGTGATCCTTTTTTCAAACCATCTGTCTCCAGATAGAGTTGTCCCTGACATGGATCAGGTATCTCACATGATTTCAAGCACTCCTTATCCACAGAACTTTCTAGAAGCACCTCACTCTCTTGAATATTTATCTGTGAATTATTGTAACGGGTAGAGACTTGAAATGTCCCTTAAAAAGATGCCTAAGCAAAATTAATCTATAGCAATAGAAATCATATCACTAACTTGTCAGAGATGGAGAGAGGTGTTTGAAAGGAGCATGAGGGGACTTTCTGGGCGGTAGAAATGTTCTGTATCTTAGTAGGGTGTGTATTACATGGGTATATACATGTAAATTGCAAAAGAAAAGCATTGCTCTGTTCATTTAAAGTGTGGAATGCTTATTGTATATAATTCTTATGTCAATAAAGTTTATTTTAAAATGGCTGAGAAGGGATGTATGTTACATGCTCTAGATAATTTCAAAATGAATCATCAGGCATAAATATTAACATTTCTGTGACAGCTATAGGAGTTTTAGGTAAAATGTGTCCATATCTACCTTTGCACATAGGAAATGGGGGAAAAAGCTGTCAGGGATTAGCACAAGGAATCAATATATCCAGATTCTTATTATGTGCTAGGTACTTTGGCTTATTAAATTTTATTAGTGGTTAAAAATATTTTTAAATGCTTATTTTTGAGAGAGAGAGAGAGAGAGACTGGAGGAAGGGCAGAAAGAGAGGGAGACACAGAATCTGAAGCAGGCTCCAGGCTCTGAGCTGTCAGCACAGAGCTTGATGCAGGGCTCGAACTCACAAACCGTCAGATGGTGACCTGAGCCAAAGTTGGATGCTTAAATGCCTGAGCCACCCAGGCACCCCTAAATCTTTTATACAAACCTAGAAGTTAGTATGATGGCTTGGCTGGGCCACAGGGTACACAGACACTTGGTGGAATATCATTCTGGGGGTTCCTGAGAGGGTGTTTTGGGATGTGGTTAACATTTACATAGGTAGATTTTAACATTAGGTGAGAGTAACATTTTAGACAGTAGAGTAAAGCAGATTGCCTTCCATAACGTAGGTGGGCCTCATCCAATCAGCTGATGACCTGAATAGAACAGAAAGACTGATTCTACCCCAGGTAAGAGAGAATTGTCCAGCTGCTGGCCTGCGAATCAGAACATCAACTCTTCATGCTCAACAGCCTTTGAACTTGGACATCAGCTCCTCCTGGGTCTCCAGCACAACCAGCTCAGCTCGCAGATGTTGAACTTACTGGCCTCCCCAGTTGTGTGAGCTGATTCTCTGTAATAAATAAGTTACACACACACACACACACACACACACACACACACACACACACACACACACACACACACACACACAGTCTGTTTTGTTTCTTTGGAGTACTCTGAGTGATGCTGATAGATATTATTAGTCTCATTTCCTACGTGAAAATTCTCAGCCCACCATGTCAAGAAGCTGGCTTCAGGTCTTGACGAGCGGCTTGTATTGGAGTTGGAATTAGAGCCAGGCACACACGGCGGCCAGCCGGAACTCTTTCCCACGCCCCTTTCTCCCGGGTAAACCGATCTCTGTCAACGATGTCATTAGAGCTACCCAGGCTGAGAAGAACAGGCAGCAGCATTCTGGTTTTGGGGGCAGATGTCCCCACGAATATGCGTGATAGCAGAGAGTTGTAAACAGCGCTCAGGAGGCAGTCAGACGGGGGTGGGGGGTGGGGGTCGGGGTTGAGTCCCACATCTGCCCCTCACCAGCTGATATTCAATATGGTCAAGTTCTTTAACTTAAGGGCAAATCCCTTCATCTCTAAAATGAGAGCAGTCATTGCATTTGCTTCTTAGGCTTTTTTTTTTTTTCTCATCGTTAATTGAAATTTTGCAAATAAAGGACTTTTATTTGGCATATAGTAGGTTGTCAGTAAGTAATAGTGTTATTTTCTTCTGTGAGTCTCTCCTGCTGCAGAATTGAACCGTGGTCGTGCATTCACGTACCCAGCACTTGCAGTGTTGTGATTCTCCTACACTCGGGTGACAGGTGAATCCAATAGAAATAGTCAAATATTTAAGACGAATATTATGCATTGAATACTGCAGATGCTAAAACTGTCAAAGACAAGAAACATACTGATTTTCATTTTGCATTTTATGTGATACGGTATCTTGTACAAAGCAAGGGACCCACAACTGTTTGGGTCTGTTCCTCTTCCCAGGAGGAGGTTGTGATGATCACATATGGATGCATGATCTTTCCCATCCTGCTAATCTGGACCTGGGAAGGGAAGCCAGATCAGGGGACATTTCTGGGCAGGGGAGAACCACAGGTGTTGAGGAACAGAACTGAGTTTGATTTCTTGCTCTGAGACCCGGGAAAGCCACTTCTCCTCAGGTAAACGGGTAAAATAATACTTAACCTTGCATGATTTCTGTGAGCATTAAGACGTGTCACACACATAAACAGCAGAACGAGTGTCTGGGAGAGGCCTGTCTCTTTACCAGGACAAGAGCCCACTTCCTGAGCTGGGAGGGGGCGGATATTTTTGTACAGTAGGCTGTGGATCGTGCAGAGCTGTGTTACGGCTGCTGGCACAGAGATAGAGGGCCGAATCCGTGAGCTCCAAGGAGCTCATGTTTAGCTCAGAGTGAGAGTCAGGGAACTGTTGAGCCGAGAATCGTTCCGGGAAGTTTCCTTTGCCTCTCTCTTCCCTGTTGTAATACTGAATGAGTAACTGGGGGCCCTGGCCCACGGCCTGTTGGTACCAGTACAAAGACAGGTGTCCAGAGATAGGGAAACAACTCAGCGTCACTTGCTGTCCTCTTGCCTTGACCAGGTGTCTTGGAGTTTGGGTGAGTCCGGAATCCACTGGGCCTGCGGGGGAGGAGGGAGAAAGCAGCCGAGGGCAGAGCTGGGGGGACGCCTCCTGCTGCAACCATCATCAGCAAGCCTGTATTACTCAGGTGGCAAACGCATATCGGAGGCTTCCACGCGGTGCCCAGGACTCACCTGCTCCCAGAAGACAAAGGGCCATGCAGCAGAGAAGCCTGGAGCCCATGGCAACACTGGGAAGCCAAGATGTCATCCAGCTCAGGGGTGGGGGCCCCGGGGGTGAGCAGCCTAAAGCTTTGAACCTCCCATTTCCCTGAAAGGAGTATTTGCCTCTGACGTCACCACTCCCACATCGCCACTCTGGTGACTCTGCAGGGCTGTGCCGAGCCCTGTGGCTCCGAGAAGTTCATGTGCAGATCAGAGAGACGGTCACCCAAATGTCGCACTGAGAGCTAACCTGGCAAGGGTCGTTTTGCTCACTGTAACTCATCCTAATATGCAAAGGAGAGCTGGGACCTGACCCAGGGCCGGTGGGTAACAAGATCCACTGGGGCGCCCAGAGAGAGGGGAACATCTCA